ATATATACTGCTGTGTCCTTGGGGTGAGAGGACATGAACAAAGAAAAGGGCAATGAGAGTGAGCAACAAATCCATTCACCTCTGGATGAGTTGGTCCTGCTGACACCAGATGTTTTTTGTTTTTTTCATTCAACCTTTATTTATGCAGGTTAATCTCAATGAGCCACAAGGACTCATTTACAAGAGACAAGTTCCAGACAGATATACGTTTCTGGTCCAGGATAAAAAGAACCAAATAAACAAAACTACCTTTTGTTCAGTGGTTTTCATGTAGTTGGAATTAATTCAAAATAATGGAGAATAAAAGAGTAAAAACCAAGATAAATAATAACTGAGAATGGACTGTTTGTCTTGATTTCCAATCAGCCTCTTGCGTTTCCATCTCAGACTGATGCAAACATCTTGTATGTTTAATGTGGCAGGTACTACGAAACAGGCAGTATCCGCCCCGGGGTAATCGGAGGCTCCAAACCAAAGGTTGCTACACCCAAAGTGGTCGACAAGATCGCCGATTACAAACGCCAAAACCCCACCATGTTTGCCTGGGAGATCCGGGACAGGCTCCTGGCTGAGAGAGTTTGTGACAATGACAGCGTCCCCAGCGTCAGCTCCATCAACAGGTACCACAATGTGTGTAATCTGGGTGTTTGAGTTTTAAACTGTGGCAACAGGTACCGACTGTAGACAGAGCAGAGGAACAATATCAATGTGTGTGTTTGTCAGGATGGGAGGGGAAAAGGAGGATTGCAACGAGGGCCCCGGTCTCCATATGTATGAAGTGGCTGCAGCTCAGTGGTTCTACACGATGCTACAATGACAAGCTTTTCCCCTGAGCACAGAGGCAGAGAAAGAGCAAGGGATGGTGAAATAAGAGGGAGAAAGATTGAGCCAAAGAGGTGGACAAAAGGAAGGGAAGGTGTGTGAGAGAAAGGAAAGAAAATAAAGGAAATGAGAGAAGAGGAAAAGAGGAGGAAAGGAAAAGGCTTGCTTGATCAGCCAAGCAGGAAGTGTGAGGCCCCTCTGCCATGTCAGCCTGCCTAAGCCACTTCACACAACACACACACACACACACACCCACACACACACACACACACACACACACGCTCCCACGGTGGTCATGTTCTCTCTGTCACTCAGAATCTCTCACAAGCCTCTTCACACTCATGAATGTCTCCTCCCTCTTCTTGCAGGATCATTCGGACCAAGGTCCAGCAGCCACCTGGTCAAACGGGCCCAGTACCGACTCACAACTTAGGTAGGTTGCTGTCTTACAACTTATAAATAATTTGTACTTTTAAAAATTGAATGCAGTAGTTCTCAATTTTTTTTTACCACCTCAGACAATACTAAGCTTTCCAAGTAGTGGACAATAACAGTAAGCTTATGTATGTATATATAAATTGAACATCTTCTTTAATCTCAGCTTCATCCAGGTGAATAAACAATGTTCACCAAGGCCTGATCAGCCTCAGCTTGGTGCTCCTTGTGTGTCTAGTAGCTGAAGCACCAAAAACACACTATGAAGATATATTCCCAACCCTATCAACAAACCTAAAGATGCTTTGATTACTAGATAAATGTGTTACAGCAGTCCCTCAATTATCGTGGGGGTTACATTCCAGACACCACTGCAGTAGGTGAAAAACCATGAAGTAGGAATGCTATAATTTATTTTAGTATTTATAAATATTTTAAAACTATATAAACCCTTCCCACACTTTTGCAATGTTCTTTACAATGTTCTAAACTCCTAAACCTACCAAATTTTAACAACATATGTACTGTACAGTATAGCAGGATGCTATTAAAAGAAAGAGTTTAGCCAAGATGAAATATTACAGTGAGTGGACGGAAGAGAGGAGACAGGAATATAAGGAGATGAAATGCAAAGCAAAGAGGGAGGCAGCAAAGGCAAAGCAGAAGGTGTGTAATGGGCTGTATGGGAAGCTGGACACTAAAGAGGGTGACAAGGACTTGTACTGATTGGTAAGACAGGGGGATCAGGCTGGAAAGGATGTGCAGCAGTTTAGGCTTGTTAAAGATAGGAACGCTAATGTTCTAACAAGTGAGGAGAGTGGGACGGGAAGATGGAAGGAGTACTTTGAAGAGCTAATGAATTCATTCATTCATTCATTCAACCTTTATTTAAACAGATACGTCACAATGAGCTTTGAAGACTCATTTACAAGTGAGACCTGTTTGGACAATAAGACAATATTTATATATATAATACAATGAAGAGAATGAAAGAGAAAGAAGAGTAGAGGTCACAGAAACTGTGGACCAGGAAATGGAAAAGATTAGTGAGGGTGATGTCCGGAAAGCTCTGAAAATAATGAAGAAGGGGAAGGCAGTATGGCCTGAAGACATACCAGTAGAGGCTTAGAAATTTAAGTTTTTGACTCAAATATTCAATGGCATATTTGAGGGTGAGAAAATGTCTGAGGAATGGAGAAGGAGTGTGCTGGTGCCCATTTGTAAGAACAAGGTTGATGTACAGAGTTGCAACTACATGGGAATTAAGTTGACAAGTCACACAATGAAGATCTGGGAGAGAGTTGTGGAAGCTAGACTTAGATGCGAGGTGACTATCTGTGAGCAGCAGTATGGTTGCATGCCAAGAAAGAGCACCACAGATGCCATCTTTGCTTTGAGAATGCTGATGGAGAAGCACATAGAAGATCAGAAAGAACTCCATTGTGTCTTTGTGGATTTAGAAAAAGCATATGCCAGAGTGCCAAGAGAGGAGGTGTGGTATTTCATGAGGAAATCTGGAGTGGCAGAAAAGTATGTTAGATTGGTACAGGACATATGTGAGGACAGCAGGACAGTGGTGAGATGTGCTGTAGGAGTGACAGATAGCTTCACGGTGGAGATGGAATTGCATCAAGGATCAGGTCTGAGCCCCTTCTTGTTTGCTCTGGTGATGGACCGGCTAACAGATGAGGTCAGGCAGGAATCCCCATGGACTATGATGTTTGCAGATGACATTGTGATCTGTGGTGAGAACAGGGAACAGGTGGAAGAGAACCTGGAGAGGTGGATGTATGCACTTGAAAGAAAAGGAATGAAAATCAGCCGTAGTAAGACAGAGTACATGTGTGTGAATGAGAGGGAGGACATGGAACAGTGATGCTACAAAGAGCAGAGGTCACAAAAGTGCAGGACTTCAAGTGCTTAGGGTCAGCTGTCCAAGAAAATGAAGAATGTGGTAAATAGGTGAAAAAGAGAGTCCAGGCAGGATGGAGAAAAGTTTCAGGAGTGATTTGCAACAAAAGGGAGTCAGCAAAGGTCAAAGGAAAAGTTTATAAGACAGTGGTGAGACCAGCTATGTTGTATGGTCTGGAGACAGTGGCATTGACAAAAAGACAGGAAAAAGAATTGGAAGTGCCAGAAATTAAAATGTTGAGGTTCTCCTTAGGAGTGACAAGGATGGACAAGTTTAGGAATGAGATCATCAGAGGTACAGCACAGGTTGAACAATTGGGAGATAAAGTTAGAGAGGCCACACTGAGATGGTTTGGACATGTCAAGAGGAGGGACCGTGGGAAGGATGTTAGAAATGCAGCTGCCAGAAAAAAGACAAAGAGGAGATATATGGATGCAGTTAGAGAGGACATGGAGGTAGTTGAAGTGAGGACAGAGTGAGATGGAGAAGCCTGACTTGCTGTGGTGACTCCTGAAGAGGGAAAAGCCCAAAGAAGAAGTATTCATACGATACAGTACTGCAAAATTTTATTCACCAGCTCTACAGACCGGCAGCTCAGTTCCGGTCGGGCTCGATTCCGGTTCTGCAGACCTACCCCGTAGCAACAAAGCCCACTGCCCCGTCCAGGTTGATATACGTGTGGGTAATTGAGCTTCAGGAAACTTCAGGATTATTTGTGACTTTCCTGCCAGTTCTGTGAGCTTAATAGATAGATTGTTGCTTCTGACTGCATTGCAAAACTTTCCCTCCATTTTGGCAGAAAACAGCGGCCGGAAGCACTGTTGGCTTCTGGGTAGTGTAGTTCTTTTGACAGTGCAGGCTTATTGAAAGAAAACTACAAAATGGCGCTGCCTGTCCGAAGTTTTCTTTTTTTGTTAACTTTTAATCTCATAACATTCAAATCATGTGAATAATATTAAAGTTGACAATAGTAGAAAAACTGCAAAAGAGTGAGTCTGCGAAAGTTGAACCGTCAAGTAGCAAAGGACTCCTGTAATTTCAACAATCTTCACATTTAAACTCCTTGGCTAAACAAAGGTGATGAGTTCTTTGATGTGTCAATGCCTTCAGTCCAGCTACAAACTGATTCAGTCAATGAAGTGGTACAAGAACCATTAGGATACAAAAACCACACCAAACCCTGGTTAAAGGATGTGATTTTGTACTTTAGTTGCTGACAAAAAGCATCATGTACACTCCAGTCTTGGTTTTTCTGCCTCACAGCCATCTTTTAGAAGACCTTTTATCAAACCTTTGTACCTTCTTTTGCTCACAGGCCAAACCGTTGCTTTAATGGTGTTTTTTATGAAGCCTCAGGCTGACCAGTTGAACCCACTGACCTATTGTTTCTTAAAAGGTTCTCAAAATACTCCCCACTTCAGTTTTGTTTTTCTGGTAGTTACTATTTAGAGCCATGAGCCACTCATCTTTACATCATAGTTCAGCTTATGTTGCTTAATTAGTTCATCATTTAAAGGGCTAACAATTTATATCAAATGGTCTTTTAGCCACTAGAGGTATCCTGAGTATGGCCAGCGATACCCCACATTAGAACCATGGACTGTAAGCTTGAAAGCTGTGACAACATTTTTTATCTTTACCTTTCTGCGAGGGTACACCAGACTACTCAGCGAAGTATGGTGTGCAACCCAGATTTTTGTATAACTGTATATCAAACAGAAAAGAGTGATAACAAAACTCCCAATCAAAAGGTGAGAACTGTTTTTTGTTCTCGTGATTCCTGACTGATAAATTAGCCAAACTTGTTGAATTCCTGTCAAGAAATGACTTTGAAACAGAGGCCTTGTGGGTCATTTTGACCCAAGGGCAGCAGGAGAGTTTGCAGGAGCCTGTAAGATTAAAATAGCAACAATCAACTTTGTTTTTGACTGTTATCTCATCAGAATTAAATTGTTATTTCTAAACCTGAGGTTGCTCAAAGAGCTATTTGCAACAAGTAGCACAAATATTACTCATAACCTTTTAAGAATGTTTGACTTCTCTGAGTTATCCCTTTAAGTCAATCATCATGGCACCAGCTATAAAAGCATTTTAAAGCCACATAGGCTGACAAATTTCAGGATTTTTCTGTAGTTTTTGTTTACATTTTATTTCCATGCCTTAACACAAATTGGGGGTTAATTCAAGTCAAACTCATGAAGGCTTTTGTAAAAATTAAGATAAAACAAAAAATATTTATCTCCTTCGTTTACAACTAAATTCAGAGATCAGATACGATAACAGAAATTCTCTCAGTAGAGTTCAGAGTACCTCGACACTGTACATTTGCATGTGACTGATGTGGATTCTCGGAGATAATGGTAGACTCAATAATTAAACAAGTCAGTTGTCTTTTGCGGCATTTATTATATGAATAAATTAATAAAGCAAATAAATAAAGAAAATTAATGCAGGTTGCTTGTTCCTCAGATTATAGGAATCTGAGGAAGTTACATCCCCATGATGTACAAAAACAGGGATTTTATATCTTCTAAGGCTCTGATTCACCCAAGCTACATCCAACGAGCCAATCATGTCCCAGAAGCCCTCAGGGGTGGGGGCCTGTGTGGAGCCAATGGCTGAAGTCTGCTCCACAGCGACAGGTCATAAGATTAACTGATTAGGACAATCTTATCTGCAAGAACACTCTCAGGTGCACAAGTATCAAATGTCATTGACATTATACCAAAATACAACGTTCTTAAAACACAAATTATATGAAAGGTCAAGGTAATATAATTCCTTTACATAATCTTAGTCCTGACTTTTCTTTAATGCTCCACATCGCTCGATTTCCTCCCCTGAAATGATCACTTCTGTCGACTGCAGTTCTTTCAGCTTTTAGTCTTTTCTTTTCAAATGTATTTTCTTTTATATAATTTTGTTTATTCTTTTATTATACTACGTTCAATAAAGTTAAACTCAAACCCAAACTCAAAAAGAGAGAATGTGAGCTTTTCACAGAAAGTCGCATACTCAACATCAAAAATGTGGGTAGGGTAGGTGAAGTACCCACACTTGCCCCCACGCTCATTCGCCCCACTATGGGCCCATGAGCAAGGCCCTTAACCCCCACCATCTGCTCCCTAAACAGGTCTCTCTTGAAAATGAGTTATTGTGGCTCAATGAGACTAACCTGGATAAATAAAGGGTAAATGAAAAAAATAAAATAAAAAAATAAAGTAGAATAAAATAAATATATATACAGGTCCTTCTCAAAAAATTAGCATATTGAGATAAAGGTCATTATTTTCCATAATGTAATGATAAAATGAAACTTTCATATATTTCAGATTCATTGCACACCAACTGAAGTATTTCAGGTCTTTAATTGTTTTAATACTGATGATTATGGCATACAGCTCATGAAAACCCAAAATGCCTGTCCCAAAAAATTAGCATAT